GCGCTGCGCATGCCACGGCCCTCTCTGTGTTCGTCAGCTGTAGGTGTACTTTGCCTGTCGGCGTGACAAACACCCCACCCACCGGCCGGGCGGTAAGATTTCATCAAAGACTACATTTTAAGTTAACTCCGCCCCTATCATTGCAGATTGCCGAACAGTCGAGTGGTGGGTTATCACACATCTAGCCAGTCAGAAAGGCATTCATTGGGCCACACGCCTCCTGCTGACTGTGCCTATTCATGCGTCTGGTTCACACCTCCTTGCAGAACGACTGAAATGTGTTGAAGTGATTAGGTTTATAGCCCATTGAAGTTTTCGACTGCCTGCAGAGGTTGGGTTTGGTGGGAAAAAAAATTAGTGCAAAAGAGAAACCCCGATAAAAAAAAGCCTAAAAACACGCTACAAATACCCCCAAAACCCAAACCTCTGCTTGGAGAGTAGAGTAGGAGTACATTTAGCCGGAATTTTCACATCGTACTGGCTGGTGTAGCCCGCTACAAAGTAATTTCCTGTGGCATTTATCAAGATTTAAAAATATTTGTGATACGAAGTGAAACATGGTTAACAATTTCTGAACCTTTGAAACGACATGGGCATAATCTTTGTAGAAGATTCCTGAGTTGAACTCAAGCCGGAAGTGACCATCAGTCTAGGCACAACTGTTATGTTATCACATGTTACGTTACGACGATCAAGAACGTTCACGGCTTGCGGACCATTTCAAATATTACCACTCATAAACCCTACAATTGTATGTGTACTTACGGGAGGTTATATTTTTGCCGGGGTTCCACTGAGGTCGGCGCCGGCTAGCTGGGGAACGATCCTGTCGGCATGACAAAGCGCCGGGCGTCATTGCCAGAGACCTACATTTTTCTTACCGTGGGTGACTTGACTTCTTCTTGCTGTCAATATCGACGATAGTCACAGGAAATATGTTCATTTATTGAAGTTTAACTTTATTTCCACTCGTCAATATTCTTACCTAAACATGCTATGGACGATCGATGTCGTTCCAAGCTCCCCGTGCCGGTGTTCCGCTATGTTCCTGGGTCGTCCACGGATTTGTCGTCGGAAAACTCAAATAAAGTACGCACCGCGACTTTGGCGACGGCCCGAGACACTTCTGGGATTTTGAAAAATGTAAAAGGTGCGTACTATATTCGGGAATTTACGGCGTATTTCTTCTAATTCGGTACTACGCGACGCCATATTTTACAAAAGTTTTTCGGTGGCCCTCCCCCCCAGGCCGATTTTTTTTTCGATGGCCCTCCCCCCGGCTCAAATTTTTTTTCCATGGCCCTCCCCCCGGGCCAAAATTTTTTTCAATGGCCCTCCCCCCCAGTGCACCAGCCCTCCCCCCCCGGTAAATATCGTACAGTCCCTTATATATTCCCCTTTGCCGTCAAATTACAATATGAATTGGAGCATATTTGATGAATAGAAGATGTATAATCTATAGAGAGGGCTTGTCATGAAATATTTTTCTTTGTGAACATTATGAAATGCTTTTGAAGCAGTGTGTCAGATTAGATAGCCAAAACGGGCATGGAAGGTGAATTGACAAAGGGAGTGAATGGAATCACATGGGATGTCTTGCCGCCAAAGGCTGGCGACTTCAAAGCACATGTAGTGTGCACTGAGTGACATTGGGTGTCAATATGTCACACCAAGGACATTATACAATGTCTCTGGTCACACTATGTTTCCATGGTGTTCAAAGGTGCTTTTGAGGATGGGTCGTGCACTTTTCCTGTTCTGTCAGGATATTTTTTAGGCCTGCTTGTGTTCATGGAAAACCAAGGGTATTTTCTGTGAATCTTTTCACCTCTTAAATGCCTCTTTCATATCAAGGAGCTTTCGATATACACTGTGCCTTTCCTGGCATATCATTGTACAATGTATAAAGGAAGGGATGGTACATAAGGCATTACCTTACTTTACATAACACTAAGTCAGTCCATAATCTTTGATAGGACCAGCATTCAAGCTGCATATTTCACGTTGTTGATCAATCGTCTGTTGTGTTTTTCTGCCAGGAAGATTTTGGGTTCCTTTCCTTCACCCATCATGGGGTGTCCTGTGCTCAGGTTGCCCCCTACATGAGGTAACCTGTGATTATCTCACCCCACCTCCATATTTCCTAATTTGATCCTCCACATTGCATCTGTCTCCCAAACTTGCAATTTTCGCATTACGGTTAGGAGCCCACCAGGAAGTTAATTTGGGGTGTTACTATTAGACTGAAATACATGTAAGACCAGAAAATACCAGCTCTACTGCAGCACTAGTTGATTCAGAAACTCAGAATTCATTCTTGTCATGTTGACAGTCCAAAGACTTAAGTGTATTCTGTACATTTTGTATCGTGACATTGACCAGGTCCAAGTTACAAGGTCCAGTTTTATTGATCACCTTTCTATGAACTTGGCAGCCAAATGAAATCCATATGATGTATATATATAGCCAGGCCTTCCATAGTGCTGTCACATTGATTGATGACTGAAGCATCTCACAAAGAAATTCTGTAGAACACATTTTGTTATGGCTGCCCAATAGGATTTATAATGATTGATGTATGAGAAGATTTTATGAATTTCTTTGGCTTTCTATTACTGTTTCAATCCAAGAAGGGAATAGTGTGTATAACAAAGTTATTAAGTTAGTTGTACCGGTATCCCGTCTCTTTTTACACACACCTGAAGATGAAAAAGAAAGGTCTGTCCATTCTTATCTCTGTTCTAGCCACCATCCGTCTTTCAATCATTTTGATGGAATTTTGCCCAATCCATCATCTTTGACAGGCAAAAATCAGATGTCATTAAACTAAGCTTAGTCTATCACCAAAATTTCTCCATCAAAATGGTGTTTCAGAGAGTCAAGACTTCAGAAATTTTCGACGTAATGTTACCTCAGTGAAACAAAATTGAGCGGACGGAAAAAAGATTCAGATCGGCTACACCAGTCCACTGATGTGTGTACAGATTTCTTCACACAGGCAGAGGCACAAACTGAATTACAATATGTTTGTCCCATCTCTTTTTACACACCCAAACATGAAAATTAAAGTTATGTCCATTCTTACATGTATCTCAAACAGTGAGTGTTACATGTACAGTACATGGTACAGATTTCTTCACACAGGCAGCAGCACCAGACAGTTCTAATTTATGTTCCCAGTCTCCCTGATTCTCCCTGCCTATCTCCTCACAGCAGGGCACTGGTGTTTGCCTGGGTGGTGATCCAACATTTATCTCCATACCTGGTAACACTTCACTAATACTGTTAGCTCTGCCTTCCGTCTCCTGGGAGGCACGGCGGTACACCGCAGCAGCACCTTCTATCTGTGGAAGGCAGTACTGCAGTCTTTTTTTCTATGATGTTGCAGCAGTGTAAATGATGAATTTGGGGTTCAATCTTTGCTCACATTTGTTTAAAAAGGAAATAATGAATCTTTAAAGCTTCAACATAGCCATAGAAAACTACAGTAGGTTATTGGGGTAACAGGGATACTGTTGGTACATCTTTTTGGATCATTTTTATAGTCGTTCATGTAAATATTTTAATATAAACAGAAAGGGAAAGATGTAGGGATACTTCAGCTTAAATCAAAACCTTTGGTTGAAGCAGTTAGGTTACCTTTTGATGATATTGTACAAGTCATGATTTTAAATAGTAAAGTTAAACCCTTCCATACACATGGTTCAAATGCCCCATATTTAGACATTTCCCCTTCCTGTAATCACTAGCTAAACACAACCTTTAAATGGAAATACATGCATTTTAGGCATTCATACAGCCCATTTAACACTTGAGGCAATCGTCAGGTCTTGTTAGTTACATGTGGCTTCACCCCACAAAGGAGGACCCTAACACCATTCCAGCAGCCTCCATGCTGACATCCTGATTCCCTCTCCTTTCTAAGCCTTTCAGGAGGGTCTGCATGGGGGGTCCTGACAACGCTCTACACTAAATTTTGAGAACCGGCTACATATTACGCTGAATTCAGGAAGCCTTCTCATTACATTTTTTAGATAAATTCCTGGTATCTTCAATGTATTATATAGAATTAAAACAGCAAATTACGCTCTATGCAAAATGTGCCAGTTACGCTGTATATTGAATTAGAGCGGTCCGTGTACACTCTACGTAGAATTAAAACGGCTAATTACGCTCTACGGAAAAGGGCATGCAGGCCCCCTTTCAGTGACCCAGTATGCCCCTTAGGTGGTACCCAGTAATCTGCTTCCAACACCTGGCAATTTTCACCGCCCTCCTAGACAGGCAAAAATCTGAGTTTCTATGGAAAGAGATGTCAATACCAGCAAAATGTGCCCCTCAAAATGCAGGAAATTGAGTTTCAGAGGGCTAAGATTTCAGAAATTTTCCCCCAAACCCCTAGGATTGTGCTCGACAAGATGTTACATCAATGAAACAAGATGCACAGTTCGTTCCCCTAGACAAAAGAGACTGCACACAGGGGGTCAGGAACTGTGCCATAGGTGCCATCACCTGGGTATAACCCCTAGAGGGTACCCTGTAATTAACCCCCACCCCTCCCGGGTGGTTCTGTAATCTGATTGGTTGCAGCGCATTTCTCTCCAGCCAACCATCTGCTGGCAGCAGCAGGCAGGTTGGTGACCTTCGTGACCTTGGCGGCCTTGGTAACAGCTGCTAGATGAGAGGCAAAATCTATGGTTACAACAAAACAACAAAAAAGATATAAATCTAAACAATAACTAGGGAGCCCAGAATCTAATCATTTCAAGGTCTCATCAAGACCTACTGACATACCAAGTTTCATAACAATCTGCCTGTACCTTCTTGTATTATCACGCTAAACCACATACACACATATCAGACACACATACATAGACACACACACACACGCACACATATATAGTATGACATACAAACGCTACCGGAAAGATAACCATCTAGGCAAAGGGTTATGCCTCAATATAACCTAGAATTTGTATTTTTTGCCTTTCCTTGTGCAGGTATTTCAAACGGGAATTCCAGTAAAGTAATGGGTGTGTCAACAACAGAGAGAGAGCGACATCGCCGCAAGTCCATGGAAGACGACTCGTCATCTGACAAGCAGACCCCGCCCAAGGTACCTCCGCGGCCGTCCCTCAACACCCTCCCCAAGGCCGGGGGAGCCGAGCATCATGGGAACCCTGCTGCAAAGCATGCTGGGAGCCACGCCCAGGAGTACCGGAACATCATCAGGACTGCCGAGGGCGTTGACCTCATCAAGCAGTACAGTAACTCTTCCCAGGAGGAAAAGGACTCGCAGAGAGGGATCGAAAAGGGAGCTACGAAGTTTTTACTGAGTAAACCCACTAAACAGTACGCCAGCGAGCCGACCAGGTACTTTGTGAAGGTTCCTTTTCAGGAAAAGTCTGGCGAAGGTGATAAGAGAGAAGTATTGAAGGACAGGGAGGAGGAAGATTGTACGAGTGCAAAGAGTGAAGGAAAGGTGCACGCTGCAAAGAAGGAGTTTAACAATGCTGCAACAAAGGATGATGGGAACAATGTTACAAAGAACAACGGGGTAGATTTCCAGATGCCGCGGGTGGAGGAGGAGAGAATACAGGAGAGAATCCTGGTCCCGCGTGTCGAGACAATAACACTGCCCCAGCGGCAGGAGTGCACATCCCCAAACTACCCCGCGCTGAGCACGTTCAAAACGAAGCCCCAGCCGCCCCCGCGGGAGGGCAGCATCCAGAGACAGGACGCTGTCTCCGAATCCTGCCGAGTCTCGCCGTCGCCCAATCAGGCGTCCGTGCCAAACCAGGTGACTGCCGGTCACCTGACCATGAGCCAAATGGTATCCTTTAGTCACGTTTCAGAACCGGAAAGACCAGTTGCCATGGTAACTTCTCAACCCGTAATCAGCGAGGCCAAACTTTGCCATGTGACCCCCACCATTGTTTCCACCAATCACGTCGCACCGGCTGATACGTCAGCCAATCATGTGACAGTACAGCCCGTGACCCCCACTACCACGAAAGTCTGTACAGCTATAGTTGTGCCAATCACAGAGCAGCACAGAACTTCGACACTAGAACGTAGGAAGAATGCCCAAAACTCCATCTCTCCTAGAACATTGTTCTTTGAGAGAAGTCTGGAAGATAGCAGTAAACCTGTCCCTAAGCCAAGAACTAGCACCCTTCAGAGACAAGAAAATGTCCAAGATCCGATTCCTGATCGGTTGGAACTTTCACCTTCGACCCCTGAACCGGAGTCATCGCCACGGAGACCGGAGGTTGCCATGCCCTTGGATAGATCACCCATGAGAACTGTTTCCACAGAGACAAATAAGGAATTACCCAAAATTCCTGAGAAGTCAGTCTTGTGCAATGGAGATGTCAATCATCACGACAGTCTGGGTAAGGATTTTGGTGAAACCAGTTTTGTTTTTAAATCAATTATAACCATTCTTATGTTTACCTTCACAGAAGGAAAACACATTGTTTTTGTAGAAAACATAAAATGTTGTTTTTGCTCTGTTTCTTCTTCTTCTCCAAATAAATAACTTATTAAGGACAGGTCAATGAATTGGACCAGAGGGCTGCCACCATGGTAACTGGTGCCGTAGTAGACACTCTGTGGTCTTGGATTACATTACTGAGTATGTAGCAAGACTGGCAGGACAGAATTGGAGAGGCTGGTCACTCATACTGGTATATGAATGTGTTAAGGTATAAACAGAGTAGTAGTTTGTTGGGCTACACCATATGAAGGTAAACACCACACATGTGCTTTGCAAATGTTGCCTTAGTTAGCATTTATATAATGCTGTGAAGCTAAGATTTTAAAAGACAATCAAGTTAAAATTTACAATTTCCATGTTCTTTTCGTGTTAAGAATCTAGAGAAGAGGATGATGATATCGGCCCCCCACCTCCCCCGGATATTGCGGAAACTGCCCTGCGTACAAGACTGGGTTTCCTGCTCGGAGAACGAGTGCCTCGGCAGCGAGAGATGTCCGTGTCATCCAACTTTGCGAGTATCACCTCGCTAGCGAGCATAGACGCTGGCAACGACACCAGCAGTCCAACCTCTACACTTACCGGTGAGTTTGAACCACTAGTCTTCTGTGGCAAACAGCTGAACAATCTGTTAACCTTTTACACCTAGCCTGTTACATGTGCAGGGCTTGAAACACTTCTTTTTGCGTATCCACATACATTGTACACCTACATACTACTTGTAACTTTTCCAGTACAGGTTCAGTGGCAGCTTCTGTGTATTACTAGTATATAATGATGTTATTACATGTACTACTACATGTACATTTATGCTAGAGCAGTTTCTCTGTTGCTATGATAACAGTACAAATGTAGTTTTGTACCACATTTTGTTTCATGCATCAGTCGGACGTCTGACACTGGAACCCTTTTGTAAGTAACTGTTTTGTTGGTAGTCATACACACAAATGTTGGTCTTGTCTGTTTCTACATGTGTGCCCACAGAAACTTTGTGAAACTCATCATAAGGTAGTTTCACAAAGCTGTACATGTGGATGAATGTTGTTTTAAGTTGCATAAGATTTGAGTATTAATATGATGTTTTTATAGCTCTTCTTGGAGTGTGGGAGATCACTGGGACCATGTTTCGTGGTCTGACTTCACATTACCAGATTGATCAAAAAGTTTCCCTCCCCGCTTGTCCTTTTTTCTGTACCATTTTTTTGTATGTCTGTATGGCTGCATACATGTTCCACCACTGCGCTTCATTTCTCAGTAGCATTTTTGTTTCATCCTCTGTTCTCTTGTGTCCATGTTCGCTGTGTTCCACAGGCACCAAGCCGCCCCTCAAAGTCTCCCGCGCCACAAACTGCAACCTCCACTCCCTCCCCCGAACCCCCCTCCCCCCTCGCCGCTCCTTCCTACAGTATCAGTACCAGTTTCACTACATCTCCCCCTACGTCCCCTGTACACCATACCTTCAGCGCAGGGCCCGTATAGTGTCCACACGCGGGCAGCCCTCCCCCACACCAACTCCATTCCCTCAGCCCTTACTGCACTACTACCCTGTACACCACCATGTTCCTCTCCTGTATGAGAAGTACAAGATGCTGTTTTGTAAGTGGTGCCCTTCTGTCTGTCTGTCTGTGTGTGCCACTTCCATGTTGTACTTTTTTCACGTCTCACAATCATCTATGCTGTCTTTACATTAAATTTTGCTTTTCTTGTGCTGCTTCTTTAAATATAAATGAGGTTTTTGCATCCAGGAAATAACTGGTTTGGTTTGTTGCAGTGTGGTAGAAACGAGACATAGTGAGCTTTAAGCATGTCTTGTTGAGATTCAATGTATGACATGACTTAGCAAGGAATTTGTCAGTACATGTACATGTAAATTGCATGTAAAACATGCTCATATGTAGTTTTCAGCTGTAACATCAATAACGTCTTCTTTTAGAAATAGAACAGGAAAGTCTTGTACAGTCCGGCATGTCACGTCTAATAGGTGTACAGAAAATCATACTTTAGCCTGCACCTGACTTACTTGTTGCCATTGTGCACTGCTTAGCCAACAGCATGGGTTCGAGTGATCGAACAATCTCGCCCAGCAGTCATGAGCGTAGCATGGAAAGTCTGGCGTCGTTCCCACAAAACATGCTAACCCCGCCATCACCTACTCGGCCACATTCACTGTCAGGTGAGACTTAGCTAGTCTAGTCATGTAGGCATCATGCTCTGATCATGTGATTGTCATGCTGTGGTCATGTGATGGTCATGTGATTATCATGTGATTGTCATGTTGGCAGATGTTCTCAAGCTGGGTTAACACTGAGTGGTTTTGAAAATGTATATTATCATCATGATCATCATTACTCTTCCTCTACACAGATGTATTATAGATGCTTTTAATGATGTTCACAACAAACACTTATATTGTACCAGTGCTGAGGAGAGGTGTAGGAGACATGTATCTCAAATTCTTCTATTTACACCTCAGTCCATCTGCTCTAAATAGTAAAGATGACTGTAAAAGTTATGAAAAGTGACTAAAATGACTAACACTCAAAGATCTGCACAAAAATCTATTTCAGTGTCGAAAGAAAATATATAAAATGTTCACCATTTAGTGCTGTAACAAAATCCCAACTAATGGTAACACTGCTGTTTATGATTTGCAAATTTTCATTTCTGCTTGTTTGTTTGATACCCAGCCCCCGCCACCACCCCATTGGAAGACATTCCAGCTCTGCAGAGACAGGCTCCCTACAGGCACTCCCTCCGCAGCCCCCCCACACCCAGGAGTAGAGCAAAGGTCAACCACGACCTGAAAGGTAACAGACATTGATATCAGTGTTCTAGCCAGTGGCCACTGCCATTGTACAGTCCGTTTTGCCTCTTACAAGCCACTAGAAGTGTCCATCAAACCCCTCCCCTTCAAAGTGCTAAACCTTCACGACAACACACTATGCTACATGTAGTATTATTTTGTTCAAGAATCAAATCTAAAACCTGTTGCTTCTGCTCCTGTTGTTCTACAGTCCGTTGTGCCCCTTACAAGCCACTAGAAGTGTCCACGAAACCCCTCCCCTTTGTAGTGCTAAACCTTCACGACGACACACTATGCTACATGTAGTATTATTTTGTTCAAGAATCAAATCTAAAACCTGCTGTTTGTACCCCTGTTGTTCTACAGTGCGTTTTGCTCCCTACAAGCCACCAGAAGTATCTACAAAGCCCCTCCCCTTCGAAGTCCCAAACCTTCACAATAACATGCTCTACTACTACTGTAACAGTGTATTACTAGTATCATTTTGTCCAAGAAGTATGAATCTAAAAGCTGTATTTTTCTGTTCTACAGTGCGTTTTGCTCCCTACAAGCCACCTGAAGTATCCATGAAGCCCCTCCCGTTTGAAGTGCCAAACCTTCATGACGACACGCTCTACGTCGGTCGCGACTGGCTGTACAGGGAGATGGAGGAGCACCTCTCCTCCGAGGAGTCGCCAAAAAACAAGGGTGTGGTGATCTCTGGGAGCATCGGGTTCGGGAAGACCGCCGCCCTCTACAAGCTGGTGTCCCACAGTTGCCACGGTGACAGGATGAAGATGAGGCTGTGCAATGGAAATGTCACAAATGGTGTGTTTTGCTCGAAGTGGCCATTGTTTATTGCTAAACAAAGAAAATTGAAAGAGAAATTGTACTTTCTTAGAAGTGCTTTGAAAGTGCCAGAGATGTAATATATAGTGACTCCAATAAAAATATAGGTGTCAAATGTTTTCATTGTGCATTTTGCAGGACACGGACTGTCCAATGGACTAATAGACTCCAAACCACCAGTGGACGACTCCCTGATGTACCTGGCCAATCACGTCGTGGCGTATCACTACTGTCAGGCAGACTTCGACATCACATGTATGGTGAGTAGCCTAGCGCTGCCCCCTAGCATGGCCTGTAGGTATTGCAGGATAGCAATTCTTTGTCAGTATCATACAGATTGCCTTATATCGAATACAGATACGTGTATGAAATGTGCAGTGATTATAGTAACTATAGATATATATTGCCTCCTTCAGTCAATATTGACCATGGTACAATCCTAACTGATATCAGCCCTAAAACTTTGGCTATGGCAAAACAGTCCTACATGTACGTTGGGGTAAGTCCCAATTCACTTCAATATTGGAAGGAAAGTTTAGTCTTTATTTCATGACACTATTTTCCCCTGTTGTGTCCAGGTGCCAGAGTTTGTGCATAACCTGTCTGCCCAGCTGTCCCAGTGTCCACAGCTGCTCACCTACAAGGATCTTCTCATCAACGAGCCCCACCTGCAGAGTTCCCTCAGTCTCAGGGAGTGCACCAGGGACCCCTCCAACGCATTCAGGTGCGTCAACACTTAATATTTCTGAACATCTTACTACTTGAACCCTGTGTACATTGTACATTGCTGAGAATTTTGCCAATCAACATCCCAACACAGTGCAGCCCTAGAAGCAGTCAAGTTATCAACCTCCTATCACAAAAGAACCTTTATCCCAGCTACAGTCAAGTTTTGAAACAGCCTCTGACAGGACATTACAGAACTTTAAACACAAAGTCAACGCCCATCATTTATTTTCATGATTTTCATGGTGTACAATACATCGGCATACGATTACATAAAACTTACATTTACAATTACATACTGTTATTTAAAAAGAGACAAACGTGTAGCATAGTATGTGCCTTACTAACCTTACTTATTCATATCTCTCATATTCTTTAGTAGTCCTTGTTTGAACTATTCATGTGATGACATTGTTTGTAACCCATTGTGTGGAAATGGTTATTGTTTAAAACCATGCTAAATTTCTGCACTATCCAGGAGAGGTATCCTGGAGCCTTTGACCAGACTGAAACAGGAAGGTCGTATCGCCATGGAGATGTGCATCCTGCTGGTGGACGGTCTGAACGAGGCGGAGTTCCACAAGCCGGACTACGGGGACACCATCGCGTCTTTCCTGACCAAACACGTCATGAAGTTCCCGTCATGGCTGAAGCTCATTGTGACGGTACGGACCAGTCTGCAGGTAAGCAAGCAAGTACGTGGCTCCTCCAGTAGGCATCTTTTTATTTATTTGTGAACGATTTACCACATTTCTGTATCTATATCAGTATAGCCTGGTAAATTAAGCTGGTGTATTATGCCGAAGGGCGGTTAAACCGGCTATACTGATACAGATATAGCCAGTATAACCACCCTTCGGCGTAACACACCATTTGTCGAAGGAATATTGACATAACAGGTAACTATCATCTCTTCAAGATGTCAAGCCTGTAAGGTTTTGAACCACTCACACTGGGAAGGACCCCTAGTTACTCTTTTAGGTGGGATCTTTAATGTTGGTAGCAACTGTGGGAGCGGATGTAAACTAATTAACCAGGATGGTATCCAGGCTTGAATTTGTATGATTGTAATGATGTTACAAACTTTTAAAATGTCTAATTCTTTGCATGATAATTTCAAAGCAATTAAGGACTGCACTGAAGTGTCAATTCACTGTACTTGGTTGTTGAGGGAGTCCTATCATTAATTTTCTCTTGGGTTTTCTGTGCCTTATCCTACAGGATGTTACCAAGCTGCTGCCTTTCCATCGCATCTCATTGGACCGCATGCTGACCAATGAAAACATCCACAACGACGTCAGTCATTACATCACCCAGCGGATCAACCAATCACAGGCCGTTAGAAACAACATCTCCATAAATGGCAAACTGGACCCGGCCAATCAGGCCAAGTTTACCGCCCACCTCCAGACTCTCAGCAGAGGTTGCTTCCTCTACCTCAAGTTGACGCTCGACCTGTTAGAGAAAGGTCACATCGTGGTGAAAACCTCCAGCTACAAAGCTCTACCCGTGAACTTATCCGAGGTGTTCCTCTTGCACTGTAACTTGAGATTCTTGAGCAACAAGGCGTTTGAGAAAGTTCTGCCAGTGTTTAACATCGCTCTGGCGTCGCTGTATCCGCTGCGGGACGAGCAGCTCTTCCAGGCGATGAACGCGGGCTACGTGACGCACCTCCTGCTGTGGGAGGAGTTTATGCAGAGGATGGAGACCATTTCTGCGTTTCTGGTTAGGAGGAGAGACGGGAGGAGGATGTTCTACCACCCGTCCTTCAGAGAATGGCTTACCAGGAGGGAGGAGGGGGACAGCACCAAGTTCCTCTGTGATCCAAGGTCAGAAATGGTGGAAAACACACAAATTAAATAGAAAGTTTATGTAATTTTAAGTCATAAGTACATGCCAGTCAAACAAACACTGAGCTGTTCATCTGATAAGGGCTCAAAATATCACCTGCATATAAAGGTTAGGGCAGGTAGAATTAAAGTTTTACAAGTATTTCTGACGTCTACAATTGTACCTTCACCTAACCTTCACTGATTGACATCCTAAATTCTGAGTGGTCCAGGTAAAATTTGTTTGGTGCAGGCAATTTTAAATGCAGAAATGCAGAAAAAAGTTTATTGAGCCCTTATCGTGCACATTGTCTATTTGATGACACTCCATCCAGGATCATTGATGGAAATTTTTCTCCCTTTACTCCCCCAGGAGTGGCCACGCCCTGCTTGCCTTTCTGCTGTCTCGTCAGGAGAAAAAGCTGACCGATGAACAGTCCATCGAGCTGGGGCATCACATCCTGAAGGCTCACATCTACAAGAGTCTGGGCAGGAAGCTGGGCTGCTCATCTCGATGTCTGCAGGCGCTGTGGATGGCTCACAGTGCTCAGGACCTGTCAGCTAGTCTGGCTACACCTAGGAACCTGTACAACCCTAACATCAAGGTAAACTGCAATACTATGTAGAACTGATAGATGTCAGTAGTCTATCAGCTAAACCTAGGAGCCTGTATAACCCAACATCAAAGTAAACTGCAGTGCTAGACAGGACTACATTGTAGATTGCATAGTCTACAATGCACAGGATCTATAGCTACACCTAGGAACCAGTACAACTCAGTAAGGTGAACTGTAGTACTTGGTAGAAATGGCAGGTGGCATTAGCCTACAGCATACAGGATCTGTTAGCTAGTCTAGCAACACCTCGGAGCCTTTACAATCCTACATCAAGGTAAACTGCAGTTTTAGACAGGACTGATAGATGGCATATGTCCCTACTTTGAAACCAGAATGTAACTCCTACATGTACATGTACATTTCCAGGTGAGCAGACTGTTGATCCTGGCCGGAGCTAACCCTGACCACCACACAGACTTCATGGGCAGTGCTCCACTGCTGTGCATCGCCGCCAGCGAGGGTTACGCGGACATGGTGTCTGTCCTGCTGGAGCTGCGGGCCTCGGTGGAAGCTCAGTCCGACACGGGGATGACCGCGCTGATCTACGCGGCAGTCGGGGGGCATCTGGACGTGGTCAGGATGCTGTACAGGAAACATGCAAGGGTGAGGGACTCTGGTCACAGTTTTACTTGATGTTTACCTTTGCAGAAGGTCACACAGAGCCTAATACTAGTATGGTCTCTTGAACACTGCCTGCCTCCCTCCATCATGGTTAGGAGTTGTAGGTCAGGAGCAAGGTTGTGTGGTGGGTTTAAAACATTTGGGTCTGAAGAGGAGTTTCAGCCATGTTTGGCTGGTGGTGGGCTGGAGTTCAGGAATACGTCAGCAGTGGTTGGGCAAGTTTGTGGGTCAAATTTGACTCAAATTTAACTCAAAGTTGATACAATTTCTATAGAAAGGTAGGCTGGTGACCTTGGCCAGCTGGTGTTCGGGGGCAAGGTTGGGGAAAGGTCCTGTGATGTATGACAGTGACTTTACGTGTCTATCTTGTTTTCCTCCAGTTGAACCACACAGACAGGAACGGCCGCTGTGCCTTGGTCCACGCTGCTCTGAATGGCCACATGGACGTGCTGAGTTTCCTGCTGCAGTGTGACTGGCTCTACTCCGACCCTCACGACCTCACCAAGAGGGTTGCCTGTCAGCAGGGCTTCGTGGCTGCAGCGAGTACAGGCAACAAGGAGGTCAGACTATGTTTATGGTTCTCATCAGATGCAGTTATTATAGTAATACTAATACTAACACTAAGCGGGAACTATCAACTACAACAGTTACTACATTGCTGAAGTGGAAAAACATAGTGAAAACATAGCCAGAGGAGCAGGTTAAAGCCTTGGTGTAATGGAGACAATTTAAGTATTCCTTGTAGCCCTTGGCTTTTATGACATCATAACAGCTGAGGGCTGCAAGGAATACTTAAATTGTAAAGACGTTGACTGTAGCTGTTTGATATACATGTATGGTAATTTTTTTTCTTCTATGTTATCACCAAGTCCTCAGCTTAGCAGCTGTACCGAATAACGTTTGCTATATAGGTCGCTGACGAGTGGTGCTGAGGTTGACTTTACGTTTGAAGTTCGGAAGGTCCCTGGTATTCACAATGGCCTGTGGGAGACAGTTCCACAGCTTGGCTGTAGCAGGAATGAATGTTCTTCTGTGGCAGAAGGATGACGACTTGTCAGGTTCAATGGCCGCACTGTGTTGGGATGTAGATAGGCGAGTTTCCCGGTGATGTACATAGGGCTCGTAGGTTGTTCATTAATGTAGGTGCATCTTGTTTGTACAGATCTGTGACTTCCTGCTGAGTCTATCGGAGATGGAGCACCACGAGGAGTGGACTGTCAACATCAACGAGCCAGACACGCTCTTCAAGGAGACGCCGCTCACCGTGGCCGCGTCCAACGGGAAGCTGGACATCTGCCGCGCCCTGCTGGAGAAGGGAACCTCCATCACCATGCCAAACGGAAGGTAGGAGAACTATGTTGTAGTAGGATATAGGGATTTTCTTTTGTACAAGCAGTATAATAATTGTGTCTTACCTTGCTCAGAGCTTCTGACTGGAGTACTGCTTCTCGCCGCTATACATGTATGTAGCCAATATACAGTGGATCACAGCTTAACGTTCTGTCCTTAGGACTGTGACCCTTTTCTTTAGCATGCATGTCGGGTGAGTAACAACAGCCGGGATATGAACTCCCAACCTCTTTGTCCAGTGGCAGGGTCACTAACCATTAGACTATGCACATACCTCAGTATATACAACAGTCTATATACAACAATGTAGACATATAACAAATGTGTTGTTCCCCAGGGGCCTGTCTCCGATGTTCTGTGCTGTCCGTGCGGGCCACTGGGAGGTGGTTGACCTGCTGTTGTCCCACCAGGCTGACCGTGAGGAGATGGACTCCCACGGCAGGACTCCCCTCATGGTCGCTGCCTGCGAGGGGCATCTCGGCGTCTGCGAGCTGCTGCTCAGTAAAGGTAAAACTTGGAGTGGTTCTTTTCTTTTACAAGTGGGACTTGTAAGCTTGTAGATCTCTAACTTGATTAGTAGCTATAGGCTGGGCTTGTAGATGTTTAAGGACTTTGATGTAAATCTTTGTAAGTCCATAAAGTTTATTAATTTATTAAGATTTAACACCCCTACTCTTATTTATTGATAAGTGCAATGGAATCTTTAACATGCTCTCCTCAAACATGGAACCTCCAGCTTTCTGTCCTGTGCGAGAGGACTTTCCTAATCAAAGCTAGGTACTCATTTTCACCCGAGTCCTAAGGGCTCAACAATGGGGCCTGCCATACGGGGATTCAAACCCAGAACCATCAGATGTTGAGTCAACAATCCAAACCACAAGACCACAAGCTAAGTGTTGAGTGTAAGTTAATGTTAACGTTATTTTCCCACTCCAGGTGCCTCCGTGCTGCAGGCAGACAAGGAAGGTCTGACCTCCCTGAGCTGGGCCTGTCTGAAGGGTCAGAGTCACGTGGTCCAGTCTCTACTGGAGAGAGGCTCCGAGATCGACCACACGGACAAGACTGGACGCACTCCGCTTGACCTGGCTGCTTTCTACGGGGACGCTAGCGTGGTCAGTACATGTCTGTTGTTATCTTGAAAGTTCATCTATGTTGGTAGAAGTCAGTATGATTGAAGGAAGTTTAGACTGTAATTTCCAACACAAGAAATTGGACTTACCCAAATTTTCCACTGTACAACGCCATTTATTTATTCATCGATCCTGCGTAACATACACTTGGTTAGCTAGACCCGTTTTCCAGTAATAAACTCCAGATAAGGTAAAGGTCCAGTCATTTCCAATGGTCTATTTCAGCATTGCTACATGCATTATATGCAGTATGTAGACTAACATGAGTAACACATATTACATAGTTGTCATACATATCATTATAAGATCTCCCTTCTTGTAGATGACAGTAACTGTAACTTTTAGTGCAACTCTCTACAACTCACTGTCATTTCTTGATTACCATTATTTCTGGAGACAAAGTTTGGTGTCAAGATGGCAGTAAGGACAGAATAGCACTTAATGAAATAATGACCAAAGTAACTGTATAACCCTTTGCAAAGAAATAACTTTCAGATGAGGTTGAGTCAGTGGTTACTTTGCTGGAAATGAATATGAGAGATTTTCCTCTGACAGGGTGTCAGGGGCAGTTCAGCTGGCCAGCATGGGTTCGTGGAAGGACGGTTGCAGTGTGTAAGGAAGCCCTGTTTGTTCCTGGTCATGTTAAGGGTCTCTCTGGGCTTTCTGTCTTCTTCCATGTATAACCCCTGCCATATTAACCCATCAGAACAAATGTACATCCAATGACCATGATTCTTGAATCCCCCATGGCATGCTAAAGGATAAAGACTTTTCCAGCTCAAAATCTGTACGGAGCTAACTGAACATTTCTTACTATCCATGATATGACAGGCCTTGCAGAGTACTTTCTAACTGTAGCCTCTACCAGGCTTCGGGAGGCAAACTGTAATCTCTAGCAGACCAACTCCCCTGGCATATTATCTCTATTTGGCCGATTTCTACTCTTTCCAGCCGCCTCCCGAAGCCTTGTAGAGGCTACTTTGTGACACCATTTTGCTCTACATGTACATGCATCTGTGAAGTTGAAATTATCACATTTTCTGCAACACTCCTACCCTGCCTTTGCAGGTCCAAGTGCTGGTAGACAAAGGTGCCATGGTGGAACATGTAGACTATAACGGCATGAGGCCGCTGGACCGTGCCATTGGCTGCAGAAACACGGGGGTGGTCTCCGTTCTCCTGAGGAAGGGGGCCAAGCTGGGCCCTGCTGCCTGGGCCATGGCGACCTCCAAACCTGACATCATGATCCTCCTACTCAACAAGCTGGTGGAGGAGGGAAATGTGCTATATAAGGTAAGGTCAGGGGTAAAGGTCAGAAGTTGATATGAACCTGCTTATTACCCTAGTGTAGCGTGTTGAACAGGCACAGCAAAGAACATACTACGCCTGAGTGAAACCTTTTGGCATAATGTAATGTGCATTGCACTTCCGCATGTATAACACCCAGGGCCCCCTTGGAAATCAGTTGTTTATCAACTGAAGGGGCGACCCTCAAGATTAATAAATGAATAAATAAAAATGTAAGTCTCAGTTTATTTGGTCTTATTTGCATATTCAGCAATGACATCCATCTGTAGCTTTCAAATGTTGTGTTGGAATAGGTATCGTCTGCAATGTTCTGAATGTAACTTTGACTTAACATCCAACAAAAATGGTGAAAAATCCTGGTTTCATGCAGGTGCAGTACGTTCTGCCAACATGCTAAAGTACAAATGTATGTAGTGTGGCTGCACAATGATTATCTGTACGTGACAAATGTGATTTTTTGTTCCACAGAAAGGGAGAATAAAAGATGCCTGCCATCGCTATCAGTATGCCCTTAAGAAGTTCCCCAAGGAAGGGTTTGGGGAGGAGATCAAGACCTTCCGAGAACTTAAGACTCAGCTGTTCCTTAGCGTGTCCAGATGCAAGAGAAAACTCAATGTAAGTTTATCTCCTTTAATTTGTTGTCATAATGGGTGATGCTGTAGGTCTTCTCATTCACGTTATTTAAATATCTTTTCTTACTTCAGGGCAGGAAAACAGAAAACGTTCTGAAGAAATCTGTCTGATATTGACATTTAGTGACATTTCTTAGCACATTTTTAGTCATTTCATATACATGTACTTACACATGTAAAGTGTTTGAAATGGCCCCAAAACAAGCATTATGTTTTGTGTACCGCCCATAGGATAAAAAAGAAGCAACTGTTTTCTGACATCCACATCACACTTTTGCCTCACAGACATCAGTATGCTGTGAGATTACAGGATTAACTTATTACTACATTAAAATGATGACCAGAAAAGTGACTTCGAAAATCCAGTTTTGGCACCCCGAAATTGCACTGTATGCCTTTAACATCCTTTCCACATACACATACAGCACTAGAACACAAGTTACTGCAACATGTGAACTAAGCTTAATTTTCTATACCCCTTGTTTCTACAGGATCTCAGCTCTTCAGCAGACTATGCCAGTAAAGCACTCGATACGAAACCCCAGTCAGCAGAGGCCTACTACACACGGGCTAGGGCCAAGAGAGAAAACAGGTAGGGGGCAGTTCTCTAGGCTTATGGAAGCAAATAGGCATGTGGGATATGTGTACTATCATTGCTTGAAGTAGTGAAGCCATCCAGTCATACATATACAAGGAACTGATATGAGGCATACTTTGCCATCACATTTTCCATTGATTGACTACATTTTCTATGGACAGTGTGATTTTCTGGTACACACTGTCCATACAATTAGTGGACCTCTTACAGAAGTGCAGAGTCTAAGTCAAGCTTTGTCAATAAAGGTTAGACATGTACAGGTAATGGAAGACACAAGAAAATACTATCTGTATCGGTATAGCCGGTATAACCGCCTTCGGTGTAACACACCAGCTTCGCAGGCACGCGGCGCAGCGGCAGCAAGCTATATCACACCAAACAACTTGTTACACTCAATCTTTGCACATTTAACTGCAGGAGGTGTTTAAAGCTTTCTTTTCAGTTGCTGAAGCAATTGGATAGATTTTGAAAACTCTCAGATGTTTCAAGTAGCATCTACATGTAGTATTTTTCCTCAGTGAGTCACACTTTATTTTGCCACAGACAATACGGCCCAGCTCTTCAGGACCTTCTAGAAGCCTGCAAACTTGCTCCAGACAACAAGGAGATCAGGCGACTGCTCATCAGAGTTAAGGAAGAGTGTAAGCAGCAGACCAAGGAAGATCGGGAGGGCTCCTCCGAGACTCAGGCTCAGGATAAACCAGACGTCGTCGCTCCCACTAGCAAGGACAGACCCCCACCTCAGGAAACTAACTTATGACTAGACGTGCACGTTTATGTGTAGTTTTTACCTTCTGTTGCCAACATTAGTATGTGAATTTTGGGAAAAAAAATGCAAGAAAACGAATCTATGAGCCAGTGCTGTTATCCAAAAAATGGGAGGGTGAGCATGTTTTGGAATGCAGATTTTTGCATTTGTCACTTTTTTTCCTTCAGTTTACTCACTTTCCATCCTGTGAATAAGATGTCTACTGCTATGTTGATTTTTACATTTGAAGAATCCTTGACGGATTTTATTGAAGAAGTGAGAAAACTGGTTGTAGATGTCCTGTCATTGGGTGTTTGAAATTCTACAGTCATGAAGATTTTTTTATCTCGATGCCAAAATCAGTTGTGGCTGTTCCAAAGGGATTATGCTCAAACTGTTCAAGCATACGTATAGATTTCAGATAAAGGGAACATATAGTACGTACTCTTTATGATTGTTTCCATTTTGATTTTACAGAAATCTCCAAAATTTGACTTTCAGCACTTTGAGTATGTAGTAGTCACTGGGAACTTAATACTGCCAATAGTCACACAATAAAGGATGTATTCATAGGCCAAATTTATCTACAGGCATCTGATACATGTATATGCGTTGCAATTGGTACTTGTATAGCAACTACAAAACAAGGTGCCATCATGGCAGTTACACTAGTGAATAACAAATAATATAAATCTGCATTTCAGTTGTTTTCAAATAGGAAAGTTTTCTAATCAATAACCAGGCCAAGAATATATTACATTTTCATTATAGTAAGCAGTAACAATGTATAAAGTATACATTTCTGTGGTAACAGCTTGCCATGTGTATATAACTTGAGGACTACTGTCATACATGTATACTGTCACAACTATACAGAAATGTGCTATAGTTGAGAACTCTTTGGTCACAATGAATACAGTAGGAAAACGTGTACATGAAAAGTTACTTTGAGATGTGCTCTTCTGATTGATAAAAACGGCATTTTAAATGGTGCAGATTCAGGAGTATCCTATTTTAGATTGTCTACTATAAGAACACGGAGACAGGCATACAGGTATATATAATAAGAATTAGAAATTTTTTTCCATGAATGATACTATGAACCTTCTGTGAAGGTTTACAAATAACAATACCTGTATTCTAGCAGACAACATTTAATGTTGTAGAATATCCCCAAACACTGTTATACTTTAGGGAGCAAAATCATTACTCACAATGCCAATAGAAAGGACAAGTAAATAGCACTATCTGTCAAAGAATTAACTGTACATTCAACATAATCAGCTTCTAGCTATACTTTTCAGTCAGTTACTAAATTCCTTCCATTTCAAGAATGAAAAATCTTGTGTTACAGTTACACATATTTTTACTAAGCATCTTTCTACAATTTTGGTGGTGTTACTTCAGTTCAACCTCACCATAGCAAATTTCCATTTTTTTTCATCATTCCATATTCTGGCCACCCCCTCTCCTTTAGTACATGTTTAATGAGAATTCATAACTGCCAAATGCCTCTACTGAAGTGCACCGATAACTGTAATACTAATAGATAGGATGTATTGTTTCAAAAGTGTCACTCTGCCAACTACAAAGTTATTTTAAGAACCAGACCCACATGTGGTGAAATAGCACAGTGTGGGTAACAGCCACATACATCTAACACATGCCTAATTAATAAGTATAATTAGTAAGGACTGTCACTATAGTACAAGATTATTGTTGCTAATAGTATATGCAAACGATGGTGTTATAACACAAATAGATAGGTCTTAACTAACTTATGCACTGTCCTGCTAACTACAATGTATATTTGTACATTCTGTGCTGTTAGCTGTGTATGATATATATTATTATTTATTACAAACTGATAATGTTTCTCTGAAAGCCTACACCCCCTCAACCCCTGGAACTTGTAAATTCATTGGCTGGTTTGACAACAGTACTGAATAATCAAGAAATGTTTCAGATGGTTAGGTTTTTGGACAAAGGTTTCTGAGACAGGAAATGTACAGTGTTGTAAAGTAAGAGCAGTGGTTTTGTTGATAGGAGCTTACATCACTAGGCGTTGCATTAACTGAACAGCAAATCCATGTAATTATCATGTGTGGAAAATGCTTTTACTGCATTTTGCATTGCCAAAATAAATGTGGACAGTCCAGATGTAAACTGTTCATTGTATTTCATTGGATTGGGTCTTTATTACTAGTATACAACCGGCAGACATATCAGTCTGAATTTTCTGGTATTTACAAAGATTGGATCCATAAAATGTTACATACAAGATCACAATTATGTCGTCCATCACTTAGACCCTGTTCATACCAGACTTACATTTAGCGGTTTCAACCGGTTTTTCAAAAACCCGGCTAAAACCCTTAGCGTTCATACCAGACTTTTGATAACCGGTTTTGAAAAAATCCTGTCCGGTGAATATCCAATTAATCGGCCATGACTGCAGTTTGAATAACCGTTCCTCCCGCTCTTCCGATTGTTGTCCTTGGCCTTCTTACTTGTATATATGCCATCTTCAGTTTTTTTTTTTTTTTTACCTTACTGCGGCACTGATCCTTTATCTTCAAGAAATCAGCCTCCTCCAACATTTTTGTTTCGGTAGAGCCCTCGCCGCCCCCCCCCCAGCTTTTTCGAATTCGGCGACTCCTGCTCTCCAAACCTAAGTATCAGGAGCGTCTCGTCCGCAGACCAGGTTGCATATGCTGATTCCATCGCTGATTCCACCGAAAAACAGTGGAAACGAACTCAAGTTGGTCAAAACAACGTGATCAAAAAAGGTTGCAGGTCGCACATGGTCAGGATGCTGACCCCGTGACCCTGGAATTATGACGCAAAAACCGGTTCAATAAACCCTTGGCATTCAGACCAGGTTTTTCGGTGGAAAAACCCCACAAAAAACCCTCAAAAACCACCTCCCGAGGTGGTTTTTCAAAATCGGATTTAAACCCTTAAAAAACCGGTTAATTTGCATTCACACCAGGTTAAATAAAAACCGGTGTTTGAAAAACCGGTTGAAACCGCTAAATATAAGTCTGGTATGAACAGGGTCTTAATCATAAAACTACATGTATGTTCTCAGGTAAGTCATAAACCATACCGGTAATACATGTATTTACTTGATCGGTATAATATACAAGCTCAAAAAACATTGGCTCTTGTTAAACAATTGTTGAGCTATGGTTTACAAGCAAGCAAAAACAGCAAAGATAAAACTGGTATCAATGTACAAATATATCATTTATATGTAACAGTCCAGTTACAGATCTTTCAGCTTTTCTGCAACTTCTTGGTTGCCTGTTTCACTCACAGCCTTTATCAAGTCTTCCTTGGTTGCGTCTCTGCCGTTGGTTTTGCGCCACATGTCCAGTACCTCGTGACAAGAAGTCCAGGGGTCAGCTGAGTTGTGTAGGTTGACTGCCTTGATCTGGGCCCAGGGGACACCGAGGTTCAGTGCCAGCTCTTTCCAGTCTGCCGGCATCTCTTTGGCGATGACTTTGAAATACTTCATCATCACTAATAAAGAAGAACGTAATGTTAATATGAATGTTTTTATACATTCATGAGCAGAAAAGAAACTATGACAAGTTAAAAATGATAAAATTAAAGCCCAACAGTGCACTTACATCATTATTGTTTGTATTAACATGCAATCCCATACCAATGAACAATAAAAACAGATATTTTCTCCTTTTTTATAGCTGTAGTTGGTGTTTTGATGTTAGGTATTGGTATTTACATGTATTTTCTGACAATCAGAAGTATAAGAAATACTAGTACTTGATTGTTTCTTCATATGAACAGTAGCAATTTCTGTCCTGAGAAAAGCCCAAGTCAGGTATTAAAATGTACTGAAATTACGGGCTGCTCACCATCTTGGCTACATGTATAGCTACCCCCCAACTCCTGAAGGACTGTTAGGATCTCGTTTGCAGTCCCTGCTATCAAGGCTCCATCCACTCTGTGCCCTGTTCTGGGAATTTCCTTCCCGCGAGTATCGGCCAGCGTTGGCGAATAACTCGTTCGAACGTCTGCAGGGTTCACGCCGTAGAAAATCGGGAAAAATCTTATCCCTCGCTTCAGAAACTCCTCAAACTCTTTCTTGGGCCAGTATTTCTTCATCATATCTTCGCTGATCACTATGACAGCAAGCTTACAGGAACTATCATGAATGGCTGAGGCTATGGACTGTTTAATGCCCTGCGTGTGCCCGATGGACCACTTGTCGAAGAAGACATTTTCCCGGGGCATTCCTTGCTGTACAATCTCCTGTGCCAGTGGTTCAACCAGGGTGTCCTTGTCCTCTCCTCCATGGACGATAAACAACTTTTTTTCACCTGAAAAAAATCAGAAGGCATCGGCTGTGGTTAATGGCATTCCGCCATGGTTCTACATATGATGATAAGTGGTACATCTAATGACAGATACATGTACTGGTAAGTGTTTACTTTTACTGACAACAATCTATTGATTTGGAAGTACAGTTTGATCAATGATTATCGCCAACCCAGAATGCCATTATACATATCAAAATACAAATAGTATGCATACAAATATGTGTATGTATGCAATGGAAGTCAAGCAAATAGAAGAAATTTACTTTATCGCTTCACTTTAAATTAGAGCTAATGCCAAGACATAGCAACAGGTTACAAATACTTTAGTAGCTTGAATAGTTGGGTTTACCTTGACTTGCTGGCTCATCCCAATGACTAGGTTGCCTCCTTGGCACCTGACTAGGTTGTACCCTTGGTGCTGGGTGAGGCTGCACCATAGTAGGTTGCTCCCTTGGAGGTTGTACTGGTGGCATCTGGTACACTGCTAACTCTATTCAGGGTGATGAACAAAATTGTAACATGTAACAACATACAGCAGCAAAAGCATGTAAATGTGAACACTTCAACATTGTAGAGTCCTACATAGATCTATTGTTACAGTACTGTTTACTGTATCTGCAACTATATATTGTAAAAAACAAGATTTTAACTCAAGAGATTACAGACTTCAGGTAAGTATGCAATTCTCTGATTAATGAATTGATTCAAGTTGTTCTGCTTGTTAATCTTCCCCACCCACATGCTTTCAACCTACACTTTCCTGACCCACAGACACACAAACCAACAGCTCAGCCACCTAAAACAGTACTTCCCATGATTAAATAGTGGGTAACTATAGGAAACAACTGACTTACCAGGATATCTACCCACCAAAGCATCCACAATCCCCGCTAGATCGGCATTATACAGAGCCTTCATCAGGACCTCTGTAGTGGCAGCGTTTCCCTTCTTCTTCTTCCACTCATGTAACAGGTCCATACAGCGAGCCTTGTCATCCCGGTTCCTGCCTTCTATGTTGCTGATTTCTGGGTAGTCGAATTCCAGACAATCGGCGAGGTCCTTCCACCCAGATGTCACGGCGTTCTTGGTGTGGAAAAAGTACTTCTGAACGCCTGTATTTTGTGTTATAAAGATACGTATTGGTCAATATCCAACGTCTTTACCTACATGTAACGTTACCTACCCCATCCAACCACGGAAGAGTACGAACCAACACCCTATTATATATAATGCCACTACCTGTATATTAGTATACATTTCTATTATCAACACACCGTTTGTTGCTTTCATTAACTTGGTGGTTTTAGCTACATAGCAGAAAGGCAGACGAAGTAAGATGTACAACTTAGTAGACGGTTTGCACCAAAACGTAAGCTATATACGTTAACGGGTGAACGGATATAAAGGGTTACTTGTACGTCATGTTTACTTACTTAAGTTCAATCTCTACTGACAAGTCTCACCTTGGTTAGCCATGTTTTATGATAGTTAAGTCGGTCCTGGTGTCTCGTGCGATCTGACGTCCGTACGCCTGTTCAACTGCAGGGAGAAAAGACCACAAAGTTTAGAAAGGAGCCCGAGACCAGAAACGGCGTTCTTACTTCCGGGTTCAGGTTAGACATTCCCGTCCGCCTAGTCTTCACGTAAACAGCGATCAGAATTGATCAAACGTTAGTATTAGGTTTAGACAGGTGTAAGTTAGTGTTTAGTTTGTTTATGTGACACTTTTCAACTAGAACTAGGCTGCCAGTATGCGCCTATAAAGTATAGTTGTACTGCCATGCCACATAATGTTTGTATGTAGGCCTGGAGGTCACTAGTCAGTAAAAGACTTAAGGAAATAGATCGACTAACTGTTACTGTCACAGCGAAACAAACGCCGGAATATCTCACCTCGACTCTCACAGCAAGTTGTGAAACATGAATATCGCATTTACGACGTATTCTTACACTTTTTTCGACGTATTCTTTCGCCGCAAACACACAAACGGTCTTAAGGGTCTTAAGGGAAAGGTCACCAACGTGTTTGCTACCTTTGACCCTAGGTGTGCGACCGTGACGTCACGTGGAAAGTCCCACATGACTTACTAGCAGTACCACTTAAGAGAAATGATCACTCGACGGTCGAACTTATATGATGCATGTATGTCTCAATTTAAAATATAAATGGGTCAAACAAATATCATTTATTGGAAAATTACAAAGGTGTGATTCCCTCATAAATATAAAGTTGAATGATGAGGATGGAAAAAAGGAGAATTTTGAAGTTGTAAGAGAAATCATCGTAATTTCTAGGCCTGCATGTGTGATAATTGTTTATTGGCCTGTTGTTAATCTTATATTAACGTGATTATCGGATTCAAATTTTCCTCATGATTTACAGGTGGCACGCACCACCTGTGCTGAAACACGCCGTTCCAAGATGGTGCGTGTGCACGGACGGGAAGAACGAGCGGGTAAAAATTACGCCCAGGAAGACGCACCACGTCCGCTTTGGTGGTAAGTTGTGCTTTAACTTGTCGTTGATAGTGTACAGACTATTGTAGATAAATCTCATATAAGTTTAATGGAGCAAAAAGACAGAAATTCGAAAATAAGTTGAGGCAACTGTTCCCCACGAGTTAATGCTGCAGTAATTTAAGCAACCGCTGAGGGCGCTTTTGTGTGGTCCAATGTACACATGTGACCCCTGACCTGAACAGCTTTCCTTGAAACTTGGTTTGTTCTTGTCCTGTGTGTTTCGGTAAATTTTATGCGTTTCAATATAAAACAAAAGTTTTTCGTGGCCGATGGAAGGTAGGAGGGACACGATAGTACCGTTTGTGAAGAGAGGCTAACAGGACAAGGTGATAGATTTGAAAGGAGGGGAGACAGATGACCTGTATTAAAGTTCAACTGGGGAGGGGGGGGGTGGTAACAGAGTTGTTTATTATATGCAGGGTAATGATATACGTCACATAGTGCCCAGGAAGCTAAATTTGTGGGGAGAAAAGACACTAAGAATCCACCGTAGGCTGAAGGACTGTAAGGGAGGGGGTGTTTTGGTCTGAAACAGGTCAGAACTTTTCTATGCATGTTTATGATGTTTAAACGTTAACCAGTTGTTGAGCGGTAAATCACAAATTCCGAACTTGACTTTTGTAAAATCTGAGGTTGGAATATAATATCTGTCGTGTAAACCTTAGACAAAGTGATGACAGAGCTTGAATATGATAACTTGCATGCCTTCTTGCTGTTGTGATAACGTTTAGAGTACTGAAGCTCCTATAAATAGTATTAATATTATTAATATTATTATTATTATTATATTATAATCAAGGGAAACGTTTTCAGAGGTACCGTAGTTTTGTAGTTGTACTTGGGAACAAATAGTCAGGTGGTGTTGTGGTCCTGAGTTTGAATCCCATCCTGTTGCAGGTCTGTATATGCAAAGGTACATCTCGAAGTCCTTTCATGACTTGTTGTTCACAGATTAAATCTCATTCACTTAAAGTTGCAATTTGTGTCACTGGAGCCAGGATGACTGTTCTTTTATCAACCATTTTATTCATTGAATTTCTTTAACTGCTTCCTAAGTTGAAATTGTTCAATGATTGTTAAAAATGAAATATATTGTTGAATATGACACATGTTTGCATCAGTGATGATGATTGTTTACATGTAGATGATAGTTATACATAAATACATATTTGGCATGACATGTTTTTCTCCATATCTTTTATTGCCATATTTAGAAATTATATGAAGTACATGTACGTGTATTAAGTATTCAATCCATCATGTACTGTGTGATTTTTAGAACCATGCACAGTACTTGGTTTCATGTTTGTGGTCATGTTTGTGGTAACATGACTGTATCTGACGTACTATTTATCACTTTTGTTTGTCCCCAGTTCAAGAAGTTCAGTGTTTGACCCCAAATGTAATTGTTTTCAGATGTATGTGCCACTGGATAAACTTAAAGTCATCATATGAGCTGCTGTTTAATAACTTTGAGGTGGATTTCTCACTTGGTGTTATTTGAAATTGTTACTATGTTTTATGTTTGCCTTCTTACAGAACAGTCTCACTAACTTCTTGAGTACCTTTAAGATATACTTTGTACACTGTTGTCAAATTACTGTGTGTCTTATTTCAGGCTCCTTATTTCTGTGCATATGAGCTTGATCTGTTTTTCAATTTCCATGAACTGATATTTGGAATGCATTTCATGTGTGTCGTTGGCTCTGATGTTTTTGTACCTATTTGTAATCTAATGAATATCAATATGAGATGCATATATAATATATATTACTGTAACATTGTTATTTGGATTGTGACATTAATGTGACATCTTGTGTGTATTGTATTTTCACGTGATTGTTGTTTGGTTATGATATTCTACATGCATGTTTACTGTTTGATGTGCTCTTGTTTTGCCTAATTACTTTTGAACAATGTCCCATGTGCTCTTCCCCCAACCAAAGCAGGTTTAAAAACAATGGAATGGGATACCTTATGTGATTTCTTGTGTGAGATGTATTTTCATGTGACTACGTTGTTTGGTTATGATATAAATTCTACATTTATAGTCACTGTTTGTTGCGCTCCTCTTTTGCCTCACTAACAATAATGTTCCATGTGCTCCTCCCCCAATCAATGTACATGTATGTCCTACATGTTATGTGAATATTGTCAACATTGGTGTGTCCTTGCATGGTGTATGTAAGTTTGGCATGAGATGTTTCTGAATGTTTATCTCTTTTACACCCTAGAGCTGATGGGAAGCCGAGGCTGTACCTGACCATGTTCCTGTGTGTGCTGTGGGACCAGTCTGTGTTCCTGTCTATATTCCCAATGGATCTGTCAGCTATCCTGCTGTGTTCCTGTTCTATTCAAGGAGGATTTGCCTGTGTGTGTTCCCGAGGGACCTGTCACCTATCTACGACTACGAGACAAGAGAACATCGGACCGTGGCCGTGAGTTGGCTTTTATTATTAGAACTCTTTCGAAAATGGGGTCTGCATGCCGCAATGCGTAAGCACTCGTATTAGATCATTGCGCAATGCGAAGTCAGGTCGTTAAAGTTAAGTAATCTTGCATTATGGGTGAAGCGTTTAGCCTGCGTGAATCAAGCGTAAATACCGGGTCGCTGCTTCGCATACTTTTGCGCCTTGCCATTTGAATTTTGCATAATTTGAAGTCGAACTAAGACTGTGTGCTAAGCATCCAGTCTGCATGAACGAAGAATAAATCGTGGCTGCTGCCTTCTGTAATTTAGTGCAAAGCGTGATCGGGACCTCCCATATGCTTGCAGACCCCTATTAAAAAATGACAATGAAATATGTTGGGAAAGGGCATCTCTGAATTTTCAGTTCAAAACTCCTGATTATCCAAACTGGCCCTCTCTTCTATTCATTGTCATTTTTGATTGAAAGAGTTCACATTTCTTATACTAATATCTAGTTTAAGGTTGTGACTAATATTTGTTTGCATTTATGGCGGAGAACACAGTACATTTTCCTATTGAGGAAAGCACTTGCAACATTGTCTGTAATTTCATTCTGTATAGTAATGGGATGCTTTCAAAAGCATTTGTGATCAAACTGTTTTCCCTGATATCCTCCTCATTATGATCCACATTGTACAACCTTTATAAAATTTCTGAAATGAAAATTGTTGTGTAATGTGAAGAAAAGAAAACCTACCTGGTGAAACAATCATTAAAGCAACAAAACGTGTGGATTTCAGGGGAAGTACTTCGCTCACATGATGATTTTTGAAAATATGTCCTATTTCTTTACAGAAGATGGAAAAGACAATGTTGTGCTTTCTTTCTGTAGTGTGAAATGTACTACAGGTAAGCTGTGTGTGATGTTTGAAAGAGAGGAATTGTGTTATGGAATCAGCGAAACAAATACAAAATGTAATCAATTTGTTTCTCAAGGATTATAATATATACTATAGATAGGATCTAGATAGGATAACTAAACAGTACATTAAATTAAACTGTAGATAGCGTTACATGAGAGATTTCTCTAAACAGACTGTTATAGTGAGAGGTTGACACATTATGCATTTGGGATTTGTAGTTGAAATATTTTATATTTTGTTGTATTCATCGGCAATGAAACAAATCATTACAAGGGTCAGCAAAGGCAGACTAAGCTGGTAGCAGTTGACTCACAAAAAGTACAGACATAATACAACAAACAAATGAAATAGAATCTAATACTGTAATAGATTGTCGCATTTGTTACATTAGTTGGTTATGTACATGCTGTTAAAATATTTCTGAACAAAACAGAACTAATTTTGCTTGGAAGGACAAAAGGGTGCACATGTTTGACTCAAGGACACACAATTATTTTTTTTTACTTTGAAATGTAGGCAATATTTAAGTCAGGGAAATTTAGGTACTGTAGACAGACAGTCAACTTTTGAAGTCGGTAGTTGCAACTACATTAAGCATAGATTAGTTGTAAAAGAGAATTTGTTAAAATGTTAATGTAAATACAGGAAAGGTGTGTACTTATTAGGTAAGCTGTTAGGATGTTTGAACAGCAACGTTACGTGTAGGTTTGACGTAGTTCAAATCCTTGCGTTCAGACGTGTTCCGGGTATTTCCCTTTTACTTTCATCTTCCCACTTTCTTGTGCGGCAAACCCATGGGAGTGTCCACTCAATCTGAGAAAATGAAATAATGTAGTGTTGTTTCGCTGATTCCTTTGAAGTCATGTAGACTCCAGACTTAGTTATCACTGTTGATGGACTTGTATTACCTTCTGTTGCAAAATTCAGGTCTCGTGTCATGTTGATCTGGTAAAGTTTGACGGCGATGTTTTATGCTGACAGACTTTATTTGATGAGCTTGAGACTAGGCCTGGATTTTGGAGCAGGAGGTTTGAATTGTTGCAAGTACATAAACAGTGATAACAAAAGTTTGATAGAAGGTTTCTATCCCTGCACGACAAAACACAATTCCTCTCTTTCTGTATGTTCTTACCTTGGTGCCAGACTCGTTTTAGGCTGCTAGCCGTTTCCCTT